ATTTTCAGGTTATTGTGCAACACCTACTTTTCCTGAATATGTTGGCATTCTAAACAACTCTGTTATATTTCCTGCGGAGAATGGTACAACAGTTGAGTTGAAATGTAATCCGGCGTGGTACTTGATGGTTGGAGATCCAGTGACACAGTGTTTGAATATGACATGGACAACGATGCCCAATTGTACAGGTGAGTTGAAATTATAAAGTGGCTTGATAATTTTACCAGCACATTTGTTTTCCAGAGAATTTTCATAAAATGTAATATGTTCATTGTACAGCACAAATGATGAGACCTGTGGCCGTCAGTGTCAACAAATGTTGTAAATTAAAAATTTATTTAAAGTATATGTTGATGTATAATTATGTTTACTTTGTCTACTATTTTAAATTTAATTCAAGCAGCCAGTGTATAAGTATAGATTAGAGCATGAGACATTGGCGTGTTGGTTCAGGCTATGCCCATACAACATCTCTGTATCCCATGGTATTACCTCAACTTCTTCACAACACATACATGAATGAAAATAGAAATATAATTCCTTTCAACAAAATTAATTTTTGACTCCTGTGTGCAAAGCACACAATGGGTGTCTTTGCAGTTAGTGGGTCTGTATGCGTGTGGTAAGGGGAATAAAATAATATGATCAAGAGTAAAATGACATTTTAAAAAGATATCTTGTTTAATTATTTTTAGTATTGGGCACCAAAAACTTTGTGAAGTACATTACAATCGGAAAGGTGACGAGTGTCATATTAACTGCAAAGAAAATCGTAATAAATTTAAATCACAGGATGCAATCGTCGTTCGGATACAACACAATTTGAAATGAAACTGTTCTTGTTATAAAATTACCTTTTTTTCGCTCATTTTATTTGCTGGTAAGAAAACAGATTCAGATTCCTCATTTCGGTGGTATTTTTCTGTGTTTCGTTTAGTTTTAGTTGAGTCCGATCCCATGCCCGGACTACTAATACATGCAAATCACACGTACGCCTCCAGGTGCGTCGGCTTTGTCGCCAGTCATCTTTATAATACAAAGTTCCAAAACAAGTGCGTAAATTTCCAACTATGATTGGATTTGACATCCAATTTTCAAAATTAAGTCACGATCAGTGACCTGAGCTTGATCTATACGTACTTTAAAAGTATTTTCACAAAAAATATTTTCGAATAAAAACGAGCCATAAACGATATGGATAGTTGAAGTTCCATCGATTTCAAGGCAACTGTTTCACCGTGATAACTCTACGCTCTGTTTCGCAAGGTATATAAAAAAAATATAATAAATAGTACTTGTTTCATTATTTGGTTTTACAGCCCGCAAATTACGGGACATGATCCCCATGAATTACGATAAATAAATGCTGATTGTGTTGAATGACAGACGTCGGGACCGTTTGGAGAAACCAACGGGGATCGATATTCCAAACAAAGTATTGGGACACAGTCGGTAGACATTTCAAACAAATGAAGTTATTTAACGTAAGACAAGATTTTTCTAGATCATTACGAACATAATGTCATACCAAATATATGCAAATTTGACAAATACACAAAGAGGTGTAATATTAGGTTTTATTTTAGCCTTAGAAATATTTTCTTTCATGCATGGGAATACTATTTAGCGTCATGGTCCTTCAGCTTGTCTTCTCCTTGGGGGGGAAAACAACAATAATTATACAAATCGTAAACTCAACACAATCAGGAAAAGAAACCAGACAACCATGTCGTAAGACATTTTGTAGCAGTACATCACGTCGGAATATTGTCTAAAATATTCAATCCCAGCCAAATCTAGGTCAAAGGGTAAGATTGCGTGCATATAATTATAGATAGTTAAAACAAAAAGTATTTGAACTTTTGACTGTTGTTCAACATCTACACACGGTTACTAAACTAGTAATCTATGAAAACAAGAAAATTTTTAGTAGGCTGATGAAGCGATGCTGATGCCACATTGTTGCCATAATGAGGCCACAATGAAGCGAAGCGATAACCGCCTAACTTGTTAATGTCGCGACATTGATGCGACGATGAAGCCATAACAATGCCATAACGATGCGATGCTGAAGCGAAGCTGACGCTGAAGTGAAGCCAAAGCTTTCGCGAGAACTATACTGTATGCTCTGAGATAATGCACAGACCTGTTGATTAGTGTTTTGTTGAAATTTGTGCTTATTAATTACCTAATTTTCATAACTGTAATATCTTAAGTACAGTTGCAGTTAGGAGTATACAACTGGTGCTATAATTTTGTTGTCTGACAAAATATATTACCAAAATATGAAGTCATCATATATGGTCATTATTTCATTAAAGATTCTTAATTGTTAGACCATAGTTACTTGGAACGACTGTCATGAATGCTTGCAGTTATATTCTTAAATGGTGTGTTTGCTCTAATAGAAGCATGTGTATTAACTGTAAATGTATACATTATACAATATTGCTTATTTGTACTTCAATAATTTCAGCACACAGTAAGTTCTAACTTACTAACACCTTGCAATTTGTTTACTCTTTACTACAGTAACAACAATGGAGCCTTATACTACAGAGCTAGTAACTACAGTAGAAGGTAAACTTTTTCATGATACTACAAACATATCAATAGTTTTTTTCATCACTTTCAATATAACTAATAAAAACAAACATACACACACAAAAAAACTCACAAAAACTTCTATCAAATAGTGACAAACAAATATTATATATTGTTTTTCAATCTACATGTATTTAAACAGGGTACATAAGAAAGGTAGATTAAGTAGATGTCTCTCAAATAGTAACTGTTGAAACATTCTCTAGGAAAAGTATATTTGTTTTGTTTGACAAATAGACTGTTTTCTTTAATTACATTTAAAATGAAATTCTAACTTGTAAGAATATATATTATATTGTTTTATAATGATAATGCGGTTCACTTATTTTATACAGTGGAAATATATATTACCCGATTTCTTGTTTTTCATGTACCATTTAACAGATATTAATGGAACTTGGTATATTTATGCTATGGTATAATACACAGATCTGAGTAGTGTTTAATTGAAATTCATGCTTATAAATTACCTTATTTGCATATTAATTTGTCAATTTCAAGCATTTTCACCTGCTTAAACGAATTTAAATCTTTATACACATATTCTCTGGAATAATGCACAGACTTGATTGTTTTTTGGTTGAAATCAATGTAATATGACTAATGTTTCAAGATGGTCATGTGACCTCAATAATATGCATAACTGTAAATGTTTATAGGGTAGGTATGTATGACCTAAAAAAGGTACAGTATGTGAGTGCCAAGATGGAGTAGCAAGTAGCAAAATGTGCCATACGGAGTGGTAAAAATGGCCTATGCGAGGGGAAAATGTATTATTTGCGATTGGCAAAAAATGTGTCCACAATTGCATGGCATACCCTGGATATAACACCGTTTTCAAAAAGGATGGATTTTAACAACTACTTTTCAGCGTTTGCAATAATTTGGAGACTATGTTTGTCATTGAGAAATACCACTTTTGGCGACTTCTAGTATCAAACAATAGCATCACAGCCTTGCATTGTGTATATTTCCCCTGTCCTAATTCAGCACTAGATCACGGTTTCTAGAAATTGTTGAGTATTAAACATGGAGGTAAATAACAATAAAAATAACAAATACCCACAATCTTTTCATTTGAATATTAAATGATACTATTATACATGAATAATTATTGTAATGCAACATTTATCCGGCAAAAATTACGCAGTGCTACAATCACACAATACATTATTGACAGTGACAAATGTAATAACGATGCCCCTCATATTGTGTACATATTCACACTAGAACCAGTTCCATTTCACCACTAGACCTAGTACCATTTTACCAAAAGTTCTAGCACCATTTCTCAGAAGTGCTACTTGCACTGCCCACCCATTCTGTGTCCATTTCAACACTTTTAGGAAATCATATTTTTATCATCCGAAAATGATTCACTTCACATATGCCTGTTTTTCCGGGCTGTTTTTGCCACTCGCAAGGAATACATTTGACCTCTCGTATAGGTCTATTTGCCACTCACAAGTGACACATTTACCCCTCGCATATGGCACATTTTGCTACTTGCTACTCATATCTCGGTACTCACATACTGTACTTTCTTTAGGTCATACATAATTGTACCTAGGAATGCTTAAAATTTTGTTGGGGGTTGATTTTGACATTCTTCAAAAAATTTTGTTTCTTTATTAGTCCCACCAGAATTGACAACTGAAGAAATACTGACTGAAGAAATAACAGAAATATTTACTGCAGTGACTACATTTGAACCAACTTACAATGTCTATACAACTGAAGAAACAACAGAACCACCCACGATGACTCATGAAACGACATTTCAACCAACAAGTAGTGTAATTTCAACGGAAACTCAGCCCATTATTACAAAAGATAAAACAACACCCCATACTGCAGCAGAGATGACAACTGAAGATAGCTATACAACAATACCAGGTAATTAAACATTGTAACAGTTATTATTTGAACAAAACAATAATGATTGCTAAGTCTGTGTGTGTTTGTGTTTGTGTGGGAGCATGTGAAAATACCAAATACACAAAAGCAAAGCATACCTTTACTGTTTAAGTTTCGTTGCTATTTTTCAGTGCAAGTCATCATTTCACCTTTGCTGTATTTCCACTGGATATCCATGTATTTTTTTCATTCACAGTGTCCAAATATCGCTTTAAAATGGGGGTTTTAAACGGGAATATCCAATGATCTCTGTAGGTCAAACGACACTGTCATCAACTGTGACGTTGCCCAGGTAATTCCCGCCCTAATGTTCCATATGTATATTCCCTAATAAAGAATCCTGCCAAATAAGGAGTACTTCTTCCGAATATATGAATAAATTACACACTAATTTGACTGTGGCGGAAATATGCAAGGTTTTTCAGTGGTTGACGGGCACTATCATTCAGTTGACCTCCACTACGTATTTGCATTTGTTTGTAAATACAGCTGACTTGTAATTGAATGAATTCAATTTCTGTCAAGTATTTTTGGATTTTTTATGCAATCATTCACACGTGTTTGTGTGATACTTTTTAAGTTTTAACTCTGTGATGAATTCCCAAACTGAGTGAACAGCAGACTGCAGGCCCCAGTACCGAGATGCCACAACAACCGACCGCCTCGGAGCTGTCATCGCAAACTGATAGTGACACAATTCTGGGATTTGTTGATGAATCTGATTCAGACACTGAGTTTGAAGGCTTTACAGTGGAGGAAATAGACGAAGAAAGGTTGAGATAAGAATTGCTATGCCAAAATACCAATTGTGGAAGTGACATCGATCCTAATGAACTGTTAAACTTGCTGAATGTCAGTGACTCGCACTCTGATGCCGATGACATTGCCAATACACCAAACATTTGGTCAAATGAAAAGACCGACATGAACATTCCAACTCATGACGACCATTTTTCAGGACCAAGACATAGTGTTGCTTTTGATGGGGAACCACTGTATTTTTTAAAATTATATTTTACGGATGATTTTTTGGATTGTTTGGTTGAGGAAACAAATAAATACGCTAGGCATAGACAGGAAGTTACCGGGCACGTAGACTGTCACTGGTATGGAACGAACAGAGATGAAATGAGTGCCTATTTCGGTGTTATCCTGATGGGGGTATATCCGCTTCCAGAAGTACCGGATTATTGGTCTTCAGATGACCCTCTCCAAGTTTCCGGAGTGGCAAAAACCATGCCACGTAACAGGTTCGTCAAAATTAGCCAGTATCTTCATCTCAGTGATTCTGTTAGCGAATCTGATCGGACTGACCCAAACCGCGATTGTATATACAAAGTTCGTCCTATCATCGACCTTGTCCGTAAGACATTGTCTGAACATTTCCATCCATTCAAAAAATATCTGTTGATGAGGCAATGTGTAAATTTAAAGACAGGTCTCGTATGGTCCAATATATGCCCGGGAAGCCAGTAAAGTGGGGCTTCAAAATATGGTCTGTCGCATGTCCCAGAACAGGCTACACATTTGATATGTCCCCGTACACGGAAGAAAACACCCCCGAGAAAGGTCTTGGTTACCAGGTTGTCTGTGATTTAACATAGCAATATTTTAATTTTGGTCACCATATTTATTATGATAATTTTTTCAGTTCTGTACAGCTAGCATTAGATTTATATTCCAAAGACACATACATTTGTAGCACCATTCGTAAAAATAGTAAAGGGCTGCCAGGGGAAATAAAGAATTCTGTGAAAATGAAACAGGGTGACTATGTTGTACGTCAGAGTCAGAAAGTTGTTGCTTGTACCTGGTATGATAAACGTGAAGTTCGAATGCTGACAACAAATTGTTCACCAGGTGGGAGAGATGTCATCGGGCTGGGTGGGGGGATGTCATTTTTTACTCCTTTGGATCTGTGGATCTGAGTGACCAGTTGGCATCTTACTATTCCATTTGTAAAAAGTATATGGAATATTATTAAGTATCTTTTTTTCTTCTTTATCCAACGATTAATTATAATAATGATTATTAATTCTTTTATTTTATATTCAATTGCTCACTCCCCTAATCCAAGAAAAAGGTATAGGCAATTAGATTTTCGTCTTGATTTATCTAGTCAAAAATCTAATGGGTACTGTAGTCATAAAAAACGTGTACCACAACTACAGTCACTTGGTGTTGAAAACAGCTTGAGTTACGCCAACCTTCCTACTCATAAGTGTGAATGATGCAACCAAATGCCAAGCGAAAGAAGCGTTCTTGTAAATATTGTTCTAGAATTAGTAAGAAAACTCCCAAGGGTTATTCTGTGGAGACTTCATTTGGGTGCAAGTTTTGTAATGTATTTCTGTGTAAAGATGACTGCTCCATCAGGTACCATGCCTGTATGCTACAGCATTGAGTAATAATTAGACACCAAGTGAATTGTAAATAAAATGTTTTTTTTTTAAATGAAATAAAACTAGTGTCCTAGTCTTTTTTCCTGTGTACATGTCAACCTACCTGGCTGACAATGAATTGGTAAAAAGTATTCAGAAATTAGTAATGGGCCCTGCAACAATGCTGCAACAAAGTACATGTATCTATGGTGTGCAAAGGGTTAAGCAGGGAGAGTACAATTATTATGTAGCTAATGTGTGTTAAAACAAAATTAATAATATATGGAGAGGACAGAAGGTACTTAATGACACAATTACATGTACGATGGATGACCTCTGGAAACATTCACCTAATTAGTTGAAAAAAACAAATTCGCTCATTTTGAAATGGATTAGATCATCCTCTTTATCCTCTTTGACAAGGATTTTTATTTAAGAATCATATTTCTTAAATGCCAAATATAACAGCTATTAACTGAAAATGACATACAAAATACGCCCATGTTTTTGGTCATAAAATTAAGATTGTATACTACTAAGTGAGATGATTTTAACATTTAGTAAACTAGTCCAGCATACTTAATAGGTAGAATATACTGTATATGGATGTATGTCACCTTAAGCAAACATTAGCGATAGAGAGCAATTGATTCACTATTCTCTAATTTTTGCATGTGACTGCGTGTGCGATATTTTGGACCAATTTACTAAGCATTTCATCTATGAAAATACCCCAAATCAAGTTGCATTTATGGTTATTTTTTTTATTTTATGACTTTATTTTGACAAACCTTGTCAACATTTCAAGACATATTTATGATGGCAGAACAATTACTGTAATGTTATTTCTATAAATTGCGAGTGTTTTGTACAATTTATAGGAAAGGTGTTTGCCATCTTTAATGATTGCATGTCTCTGTATATAGTTAATTGTTGTTGTT